GAATTGAGCTTGTTTAGTTCAATAACGAATGAAAGAGGAAAGTTGAGTGAGGGAAAAAGGCAAGAGCTATGAGCAATACTTGAGAGAAAAGCCAAGTTCTATAGCGTGCAAAACACGAGCGTTGAGTGCCATTTTGTGAGAGAGTGGAGTGAAACACATAAGGGAGTGTTGAGAAGTCCTTTTATTTTCTATTTCTAACATTCCTTGCAGGTTTCAATCATGTCAAGCGGTGATGACAAAAAAACACCAAGTGGATGATTCTTTCATGCTCAAAGCTATGCAACAACAATTTCAGAGGCTAGACATCATGTTTGGTGAAATTAAAGACAAAATAGAGAAGCAAGATGCAGCCATTGCCAAGTTATACCAAATACAGAATGGAAGTCCAAATTTGCATAATCACGATCTTAATGACAATGATGAAGATGCATTCAACGATGATGGCTAGAACTCAAATTTCAACATGGACAGATTTATGAGAGGTAGAGGGGGTCAAAGATATAGATTTAACAAAAGAGACCAAAATCTGACAAGGTGGGGAGATTGGCAAGATCATGACTTAGGCAGCATCAAGATGAAGATTCCTCCATTTCAAGGCAAAAATGATCCAGATGTGTATTTGGAGTGGGAAAAGAAGGTGGAATATGCCGTTGATGGAGAACTGCTTGTCACTAGGCGAGCTTTGAATGTGCAAGCCAAAGAAGATGATGAAGTACAATGTGACAATATATTTCACACGAGGTGCCATGTCAACAACAAGGTATGTAGTGTGACCATTGATGGTGGTAGTTGTATTAATGTAGCTAGCACTGTTTTAGTTGAAAAGCTTAATTTACCTATGATGAAGCATCCAAGGCCATATAAGCTGCAATGGTTCAACGATTGTGGAGAAATTAAGGTAAATAAGCAAGTTCTTGTTTCATTCTCTATTGGACGATATAAGGATGAGGTACTTTGTGATGTGGTTCCCATGCATGATAGGAGGGTAACACATGATGGCTTCAAAAATCGCTATCCATTTGTCATGGAAGGGGAAAACAATTGCTCTTGCACCATTGAGTCAAAGGCAGGTTTATGAGGATCAACTGAGAGTAAAAAAAGAGAGTGAGCTGAGAAATGAGAATGAGCTTGAGGGTATGAAAAACAAAGAGAAAACAGCAAAAAAAGAGTCCAAAAAGAGAGAAAAGATCGATAGTGTTGAAAACAAAGAGAGAAAATGAGTGAGTGTTTATGCAAAAGAAAGTGATGTCAAGGCTACGTTCTTTGCAAAGCAACCTATGTTTGTGCTTCTGTATCAAGATGCTTATTTCAACACTAACAAACTTAATGATTCTTTGCCTAGTGTTATTAAATCTCTTTTGCAGGACTTCAAGGATATGTTTCTAGATGATGTTCCTAATGGTTTACCACCAATAAGAGGAATTGAGCATCAAATTGACTTCATTCCTGGTGTAACAATTCCAAACCAACCAACATATCGAAGCAATCCCAATGAGACGAAAGAACTTCAAAGGCAGGTCGAAGAACTCATGAAAAAGGGACATGTGAGAGAAAGCATGAGTCCATGTGCAGTTCCAGTGCTACTGGTGCCTAAGAAGGATGGGACTTGGCATATGTGCGTTGATTCTCGCGCAGTCAACAAAATTACTGTAAAGTATCGTAACCCTATTCCTAGATTAGATGACATGTTAGATGAGTTGCATGGTTCTTGCATATTCTCTAAAATTGATTTAAAGAGTGGATATCATCAAATTAGGATGAAGGAAGGAGATGAATGGAATATAGCCTTTAAAACGAAACATGGTTTATATGAGTGGTTAGTTATGCCATTTGGATTAACTAATGCGCCTAGTACATTCATGCGATTAATGAATCATGTTTTGCGTGCTTTCATTGGCAAATTTGTGGTTGTTTATTTTGATGACATTTTGATATATAGCAAGAGTTTAATTGAACATATTGAGCATGTGCGAATGGTACTTGAGGTGTTGAGAAAAGAAAAGTTGTTTGCTAACCTTACAAAGTGTTCCTTTTGCACAAATTAGATTGTTTTTTTAGGGTATGTTGTTTCAGCTAATGGAATCGCAGTAGATGAAGAAAAGGTTAAGGTTATTAAAAGAATGGCCGACACCTAAAAATATTTCTGAGGTGTGGAGTTTTCATGGTTTGGCAAGTTTCTACTGAAAATTCATCAAGGATTTCAACACAATTTCAGCACCGTTAACTGAAATTGTGAAAAAAAGTGTTGGATTTAAGTGGAAAAGTGAACAAGAGAATGCTTTCAATTTAATTAAGGAAAATTTAATTTTTGCATCGTTACTTACTTTACCTGATTTTACTAAAACTTTTAAAATTGAATGTGATGCATCAGGTATTGGCATTGGTGTTGTTTGGATGCAAGAGCGACAACCTATTGCGTTTTTTAGTGAAAAATTGACTGGTGCAGTACTTAAGTATCCTACATATGACAAAGAGATGTACGCATTGGTCAGGGCTTTAGAAATGTGGCAGCATTATCTTTGGCCTAAGGAGTTCGTGATACATACTGATCATGAGTCATTGAAGCACCTCAAGGGACAAGGTAAGTTGAATAGGCGACATGCTAAGTGGGTGGAATTCCTTGAGACATTTCCCTATGTGGTCAAGTACAAGCAAGGAAAAGAAAACATAATGGTTGATGCATTATCTCACAAATACACACTTATCTCTACTTTAAGTGCAAAGTTATTGGGATTTGAGCACATTAAAGAATTATATGCTAATGATCCAGATTTTGCTAACGTGTTTAATGCATGTGAGAAGGCAGCTTCTGATAAGTTTTATAGGCATGATGGGTTCTTATTTAGGGAAAATCGATTATGGGTGCCTAACTATTCCTTAAGAGAATTGTTAGTAAGGGAATCTCATGCGTGAGGCTTAATGGGACATTTTGGAGTTAGGAAAACTTTAGATATTCTGAATGATCACTTCTTTTGGCCACACATGAAACGTGATGTTGAAAGGATCTATGAAAGGTGCATAACATGTAAACAAGCAAAATCTAGAGTTTTACCACATGGTTTGTATACTCCTTTACCCATACCTACTGAACCTTGGGTTGATGCATCTATGGATTTTGTTTTGGGCTTACCAAGGTCAAAAAGAGGCCACGATTCTATTTTTTTTTGTTGTTAACAGGTTCTCGAAGATGGCACACTTCATTCCATGTCATAAAACTAACGATGCAACCAATATTGTGGATCTATTCTTCAAGGACGTTGTTCGTTTACATGGCATTCCAAGGACCATTGTTTCTGATCGCGATGTCAAGTTCTTGAGTTACTTTTGGAAGACATTAAGGGGAAAGCTGGGAACTAAGCTACTGTTTTCGACTACTTGTCATCCACAAACTGATGGACAAACAGAACTGGTTAATAGGACGTTGTCAACCTTATTGCGTTCTATTATTTAGAAAAACTTGAAGAACTGGGAAGAGTGTTTGCTGCACATTGAATTTGCTTATAATCAGAGCGTCCATTCAGCAACTAACTGTTCACCATTTGAAATTATGTATGGTTTTAATCCACTCACTCCTTTAGATTTATTGCCTTTACCTATTGACGAACAAGCTAGTTTGGATGGGAAAAAGAAAGCTGAAGTGGTTAAGCAACTGCATGAGAGGGTGCGACAAAACATAGAGCGACGAATTGAGCAGTATACAAAACAAGCCAACAAAGGACGCAAGAAAGTTGTATTTGAACCTGGAGTTTGGGTTTGGGTGCATATGCGCAAGGAGCGATTCCCTGCACAAAGGCATTCTAAGATGCAATCAAGAGGCGATGGACCATTTCAAGTGATTGCGAGGATTAATGACAACACATACAAGTTGGAGCTTCTTGGTGAGTATAATGTTAGTGCTACTTCTAATGTTTTTAATTTTTCTCCTTTTGATGTAGGTGATGATTTGAGGACAAATCCTTTTGAGGAGAGAGGGAATGATGGGAATCAAGACGACAACATATCTACTACGTCATGTGATCCATTACACACCCAAGAAGGTCCAGTCACGCAAGCTAGAGCTAAGAAGATGCGTAAAGCTTTAAATGGCCTTATTGAGCAGATCTGGGTTGAAAACAACATACAACAAGAAAATCAAAGCTTAGATGATTATCAAGGCATGGTAAACATCATTCAGGTTCAAGAGAAGCTTAGTTGAGGTCATTTGCACGGAATTACACAATTTGCGTCAAAATCGCACAATTCTACTGCAACTTGTAGCAAACTGATATTTCATGTTATTTTAGGTTATTTTTAGTGATTTTCACATTTTTTGTATTATTTTTGGGCTAAACATTCACTTATTTGAAGCCCAATTCGTGGTTATTAGGTTTAGGACTTAGGGTGTTAATTTCCTATTCTGATTAGGATTTGTTTTCTCTATTTAAAATGCTTGTGACCTTAATGGGGAGGAGGCGATTGAATCTAAGATTTTAAGAGACTTTTCTCTTTGGTTCGTTTCAGAACTTTACAGAACTTATCAAGATTATTCTTGTGGCGTTCTAACCTGACTTATCATTCTCGTTCTTAATTGTTCGAGGGTGTGGCATCAACCAACTTTATACCTCTAGTTCTTGTTGCGTTATAGACAACGGGTCAATATTTTTACCTTTGGTTCTTGTTGCGACATAAACAACGGGTCAAGGTCTTATTATAAACTTGATTTAGCTTTCCTGGAGTTTCGAAATCCCTTGTCGTGCTGTGGGTCTCATTGTTCTCTTTGGGGTTCTCATCAGTTACGGTTGTTGACATCGCAACTGAACTCTAAGAGTAAGGGTATATCCCCCTACAAACAAAAAGCTTCTATGATTCTGGGATGAGAAGCACAACAAAAAGATTTATCAACGCCTACTCCCTGGTGGTGGACCACCAACGTGCGAGAGATGAGGTGGCTGTTGAAGGGTCAGTAGGGGTGGTGCGTCAAGCCCTTGAGGTACAATATTCCCTTTTCGCTTGAAGTTTTAGGATAAAGATCTTGTTAATTGTTTGTTGATTTAAGTATAACCTATTATGCAGGTTGTGAATCTCATGAATGTACTGACGAATGAGCATCACAAAAGCCTGAAGGATAGGACTTAGTTAAGGAAGGAGAATGCAGAGCTCGTCAAGAAAAATGAGGACGCTGAGCTCAAGGTGGCAAAACTGAGGGCAGGGATGTAGGAGCTTAGAAAGGAGAATGCCACCTTGAGAAGAGACTCGGAGCTCTCATAAGAAAAAAGGAAAATTTGCGAAGACGAGCTTGAAAAGAAGGAAAAAGAGTTAGATGAGGTGACGAGGGCACCAGCTAAGCTAGAGCTCAAAGTTCACAACTCTGTTGAAGAGCATGTGGCAGAGTTTTTGAAGTCCAGCACTTTCGAGGATATCGTCAATCTCTACCAGCTCCCAATAGCAATTGCAGCCTTCTCCGACTACCAGAAGAAGGTGAAGTTGTAGTATTCTGTTGTGGATGTGACAAAAATCACATTCAGAGATTAGGAGGGAGAAGTGGAAGAAAATGGGGAGAGCAGTACTGCTGACTTCCATCCTAAAGTTACACTGAAATGGGACAGGGACAGTAAAGGTAGAACCATTTTTCCTCCGAACTTCAGTTTTGAGTTCGTGCTGGTGGATGACGAAGGGAGCAAAGTTGCTAACAAGCCAGATCAGCCTACTGAATAACTCCTTGCTTTGTTCATCTTTGTAAAAATGATTTGTTTGTAAACAATTTTGGAGTGATCTGAACTGGGAAAGGCTGAATGAATGAAATGAAACTTGTTAATTTCATTGAGCTGGGAGTGTTGGAATTGACTTCGCCTTTAACTTTATTAGAACATCAAATGTTACAAAGGAAGGATGTCTACTACCAGTAGTGAAAGGGGAAACTTTCAAGGTAGAATTTCTTGAGGTTGTTAACATTCCAGACCTTAGGCACTTTCTTGCCCTCAGGATCTTGGAGAATGTAGGCAACAGGGTGTGAGATTTTGGTCACAGTGTATGGGCCTTTCCAATTTGGTACCAGCTTGCTGAAGTAGGTCTCAAACCTTGTGAGCCCAATCCTTCTAAGAACTAGGTCACCGATTTTGAAGCTGCAAGGTCAAACCTGGTTATTGTAAAAGCTGGCTACCTTATACTTGTATGCAAGCATTCGAAGTCGGGATTGCTCGTAGACTTCGTCTAAGAAATCAAGGTTTTTCCTAAGTAGTTGCTCATTTCAAACTGATTCAAAATGGCTGACTCTTAAGCTCGAAGCACCAATTTCTACAGGGATAACTGCCTCAGTGCCGAAGGCCAAAGGATAGGGCGTTTTGCCTATTTAAAGGAGACTATGATTTTAGGATTTGTTTTACAGAGTGATTTAAGACTTGAGTAAAATAGTGAAAAAGGAGATTAACATCAAGGGCATACCTTTGGCAATTTAGCTCGTAGTTCGATAGGCCCATAAGACACTGTTGAACTCGTCAACTCATTTTGCTCTTAGCTTATCCAATCTCAGCTTGATTCCCTCTAGAATGGCTTTGTTAACTAATTCAATCATTCCATTGGCCTTAGGATGATAAACTAAAGTGAACACTAGCTTAATCCCGTAACTGGAGAAGAAGTCTTTAAAGGAGTTGCAATTGAATTGAGAACCATTATCAGTAACAATTTGGTTTGGTATCCCGTATCTGCAAATGACTGAGCTGAAAAGAAAATCCTCAATCCTTTTCGAAGTCAAACAGGAGAGAGGCCAGGCTTCTACCCACTTAGTAAAGTAATCAATGGCAACAACTAAGTGTGTTACTCCCCCTAATCCTTTGATGAAAGGGCCTAGAAGTTCTATTCCCCATTGGGCAAAAGGCCAAGGTGCGACTATGTTGGCGAGTTCTTCAATTGGCTAGTGGGCAAGATGAGCGAAGAATTGACATTTCTAGCACTCTGCACGAACTACTTTGCATCATACTGCATGTTATGCCAATAGTACCCCTACCGAAGTACCTTATGGGCCAAAGTCTAAGCTCCCGTGTGGCTCGCACGTGGCTTCCATATACCCCTTCGTGCACTTCTCTCAATGCATACTCAGCTTCATACGGTGTCAAGCACCGAAGGAGAGGTAATGAATAAGACCTCTTGTATAAGAGATCATCAACTAGGGTGTACCAGGACGCCTTTCTCCGCAGCTTCATCTCCTCTTGTTTGTCCGTTGGGACAGTTGCATCTCAGAGGTAAGCTCCAATTGGGTCTGTCTAACTGGGAACTTCCGGATCGGTATTGATTTCCATTACCTTCGATTTTTGAAAGCTTGGTTCATTTAAGATCTCGATATAGACAGATCTTTATCGGATGCTAGCTTTGATAAAAAATCTGCATGTTCATTCTTTGTTCTTGGACCTTTGTAAGCTGCAATTTTTCAAAGTGACACTTCAGCCCAGAGACTGTGGCCACATACTTTGCAAGAGCAAGATCTGTGACCTCACACATGGAATTAACTTGGTTGACCACTAACTGTGAGTCACTATATATCTACAAACGCTTGACCTTGAGCTCGGTTGCCCAATGCAATCCAAGGAGGAGTGCCTCATACTCGGCCATTTTGCTCATGGCTTCGAAGTTGAACTTCAATGCATGTTCACTTTGGAAATCACCAGGCCTGGTCAGTATTGCTCCAGCTCTTAACCCTTTACTATTGGATGACCCATCGACATAAAGGGTCCATGTTTCAATCTCTGAACTCGGTTTCTCCTGGCCAAAAGTGCACTCTACCATGAAGTCTACCAAAACCTAAGCTCGGATTACCGACCTCTACTAGAACGTTATCTGGAACTCCCCTAGTTCTACTGCCCATTTGATGAGTCTTTCAAAACATCCTAGTTTCTGCAAAATTTGCCTTAAAGGTTGATTAGTCATCACAATAATAAGATGGGATTGGAAATATGGCCTCAACTTCCTCACAATAGCAACAACTGCTAGAGATGCCTTTTCTCCTATGAAATACCTCTATTCAGCTCCTTGTAGGACCTTGTTGGCATAGTATACTGGTCACTGCTATTTCCCTATTTCCTTGACCAAAAAAAAATTGACAACTGTATCAAATATCCCAAGGTAAAGATAAAGAATTTCACCTTCTTCAGCCTTCGTCAGCAAAGGCGATGAGCTAAAGTAGGCTTTGAGCTTGTCAAAGGTTGTTTGACAGTTTCCAGTCCAGTCAAACTTCTTGGGCTTTCCCATCTTGTCTCTTTGAGCCGCATGTCCTGAAGCGTGAGTTCGGGGGCCTACGTCAAGGCCATCATGGCACAGGCCAACAGCCACGACACCATGGGTGCGCAAGCACGAGCACGGACGTGGGCAAGCGTGACATGGAATGCTCAAGAGGTGGGCCTTGCATGAGTTGGCAGTGTCAATGCCACAGCCGTGGCATGGGGTTGTGGTAGAGACACGCAGGCGCGCGCAGGAGCGGCCAAGGGCATCCATATAGCGTGCGATGGCAGCAGCGAATAGAGTGTCGACATGTGGAAAATGCACGGGATTATGGTGTCGACACCCTTGTGACAGACTAGAGCGTCCCAGAAAATTCTAGAAGCTGCTGGGTGTGGGGATAAGGACCAGACAGTGGTCTGGAATGAACTTCCTAGGTCTGGATTGCATGTAGAAGTTCCTAGAGCCTTGTACATAATTCTAGAGTAAGGAGAATTCTAGAATTAGGCTAGGAGAGAAAGTTTGAGAGTGTTCTAGAAAGTGTAAATATGAGAACTCTTTGGGAATGCTCTAGAACCTCTACTTGGGGTGGCTAGCCTCATCTATAAATAAGAGGAGCCACATAAGGTAGAGGGAGCTTAGCCAAGCATTCACCTAAGCTCTTGTAAATTTTCCTTGCGTCTAATAAACCCTCACTTTCTCCCAACTTCCAACCTTTGCATTTTAAGCTTCGTAAGCCTCTTAGTCCCATAGGTGGACTGTGCCTAACATCAAGGGAAGGCTGACTTGGTTTGGTTAAGGGGTTAATTCCAAGCTAAGTGTCGCATGGTGACTAGCTAGAGTCTCGTCCCGTGACACACAGCTCTCAGGACCATAAAGAAAGGCAAGCATTTAGTACTGATTTAGAGATGAATTTGTGCAAAGCCGCTACCTGTCTAGTTAGATGCTGCAAATGCTTAGTTGACCTCGACAGCTTCATCTCCTCTATTGCTTTTATCTTTTCAGGATTGACCTTTATCCCCCTTTTGAAAACCATAAAACCAAGAAACTTGTCAGATTCAACACTGAAAGTGCATTTCATCGGATTCAACTTCATGTTGTATTTTCTCAAATTGTTAAATGTCTTAGCCAAGTTAGTTAAGTGGTCTTTTGCTCGGAGACTTTTAACTACAATGTCATCTACATAGACCTTCAGATTCTTGTCTATCTGAGCTCTAAACATGATTATTACCATTTTTTTATATGTTGCTCCTGTATTCTTGAGCCCAAATGGTATCATCACATAATAATAGATTTCATCCCTAGCATAGAATGAGGTCTTCATTTCATCTTCGGGTGCCATGTGAACTTAATGATACCCCGAGTAAGCATCTAAGAGGCAGCCTTTCATTTCCTAAGGCAGCTTCCACTAGCTTGTTTAAGTTGGGCATGGGGTGACAGTTCTTAGGACAAGCATCATTGAGGTTGGTGTAGTCAATACACATTCGTCATTTGCCGTTCAACTTTTTTACCGAAACGGGATTAGCAACCCATTCACAGTAGTTTACCTTTCTCACAAATCCAACTTGTAAAAGCTTCTGCACTTCCTCTTTGATAGGTTGCAATCTTTCTCCTCCAAACAAACGTCTCTTTTGAGCTACAAGTTTCTTTAGAGGGTTGGTGCTTAACTTGTGCACCGCAACCAAGGTCCGGATTCCAGGCATGTCGATTGAGGTCTATGCAAACACATCGTTGTTTGCTTTTAAGAAGCTTATGAGCTCCTCTCTTTCCCTTGGTTTTAGTCTTGTCCCAATCTACGTCCGTTTAGTGGGATCATTGTCATCGATCTGTACTGCTTCTGTTTCCTCTACCGGAGCAGCTCTGGCTTCGTCATCCAATCAGTTGTCTAGTAACTCAACACCCATCACCTGCTAAGTACTAGGTGCCTCTGATTACATTGGTTCTGGTAACTGAATTGGCTTCTTATCCCTCTAGGGTCGATTGACTGAGGTCATATAGTAGTGTCTGGCTACTTTTTGGTTACCCCTCAAAGTCGCAACTCCCATAGGTGTGGGGAACTTGATGCATAGGTGAAACTGCGAGACAATAACTCGGCTTTCTGTCAGGGTGGGCCTCCCAACTACTATGATGAAAGATGAGGTCATCTTCACGACCAAGAACCGTACTAAGGGGGTGACATATCTTCGGTTTGAACCAAAGGCCACATTGAGCCTTAGTACCCTTTCAACGGGAACCGACTGATTGTTGAGCCGTAGATAGGTCCATCATACTTCTGCAAGAGAGTTGGGTCAAGGCCAAAGCTCTCAAAGCAATGGTAATATATTATATCCGAAGCACTTCCAGTGTCAACAAGGACACAATGGACTTCACAATTGTTGATGATGACGGACGTGACCAACGGCTCATGATGGGGTGTAACAATGTTGCTAAGGTTAGCCAATGTGAGTGTTATGGGTTGGTTCTTCCACCCTTCGTCGTCGAACTTCCTCTTCTTGACCTGGTTTTAATGTTTGACCTCCCTCACGTAAAGTTTCTACTACTTTGAGCTCATCCCTCCTACCTCTAGCCCCCCATTTATCATGTGAATGATTCTAGCTGGTGTGGAGAGTGGCGGTGGAGTTTGTTGATATCCGACCCCAATCTTGTTGCCAGCACCTCGAGGTCCTTGGGGTTCTTGTCTCTGCTTCCTTACAAACTTGGGGTAGTCCTTGTTAAGGATGAACTCATTGAACATCCCCTTCTATGCCAAGCCTTCGAGCTCGGACTTCAGGCTATTGCATTCTTCTATTATGTGGCCGTGATCTTGGTGGAAGTCATAGTACTTCGTGTGATTTCTGAAGGTGGATAAGGTCCGCATGGGTGGTGGCCTTTTAAGATCCATTTTATTTTTTATATGCATTTAGATATGCGACCTCGATAGTGTAAATGGAGTCCAAGTGGGCTACCTCGCTATGGCCTGCAAGGCACTTGCACTAGGCTTGTCAACCTTGGTGGTTGAGAGCGGACCTCAGTTTTGAGTGATTTTGAATTTCTTCTTAGTCGGCCCTTCCTTCCTCTACACAGGGCTTCTGTTGTCCTTGATGGTTAAGGGCTTTTGCGACAACACGTACTCTTTTGTAGTGATGAAATTGCGAGATCTTTTATTGACTTCTTCAAATAAAGCAAGGGGGTGCTTGATCAAATTGTTTCGAAACCGCTCATGGCCAAGCCCTTGGGTGATAACGGTGATTCCTATAACTTGGTCAAATGAACCGATCTCCAGCATAGCATTATTGAACCTGTTTAGGTAATTTTTTAGGGATTCTCCTTCCCTCTAGACCACCTGTATGAGCTCGACTGTTGTTTTCTTCATTAGCCTCCAACTAGAAAATTTGGTGGCAAAGGCCGTGCCATCTTAGCATATGAACTGATTGAGTTCGATTTCAGACTGTAATATCAAGTTTGAGCATGACCACATAATTTGGATGGAAATATTTTGCACATGAAGACATTTGAGGCATGTAAGTGGTCATTAGGGTCTTTAGTTTCGTCATATGTCTCAAACTGAGAAATCCTGAAGCCTGATGGGTATGGTTCCTGAACAATGTTGGTATTAAGGGGGGGTAGATATAAAAGTTGAGCTAGTTTGGCCTAGGGGTATAGCTTTGTTTTTGGCCATCATCCTTTCAAGGTTCTAGTCTTTTGGAGACGTTTGAGGCTACTAGTTGAGGTGGATTAGGAGGTGAAGGTGGAATGTGAGATTGTGATTGGGAGCCACTCCTAGATGGGGCGGCACTCCGGACAAGGGAGTTAACAAGTTGTTGTTAGTGAGGAATAGTGGGGTGAGCTGGATTTAACAAGTTGATGAGAGCGTCACCGGGATTGTTTCTAGCTAGGAGCTGTGCAAGCACCAGCTGGAACACTCCGAATTGTTGTTGTATGGTAGTAAGTTGAGCAACTATGAGGTCGTTCGAGGTCGTGATTGGAGGTTGTGGATTGTGTTCTCTTGTTCCTTTCACCTACTAGCGTTGAGCAGCAGCAAGCGGTACATTCTGAGGCATGGGGTTGGGGCCTGGGGACTAGCCTCTTCCACCACCTTTGGACTGCCTTCCATGCTGGGTCGAGCATGTGCGAACCATCTTAGTCTTTTTATAGGGCTTCTTATTCGGATTCCCACAGACGGCACCAAATGTTATTGCAAAAAACCTTTAAGATCTTCCTTCTATGTATCTTCTCTCTAGACAAACTTGCAAAATCCTGAGGTTGGTCCTTGGGGAGAAGCTTCGATGCTTAAGTTAGTATTGGTCTAGAGAATGTTGTCTTTAATGATTATTTCGTCTATATAACATACCTTTCCTCATGGGTTTTGTATATCTTGGCAAGATACCCACGTGGCCTACTTCTACCCACATGGCTTACTTAACATGATAATCATGATATGATATGCCTGACAGAGTAGACGTCTTAAGTGAACATAACGTGCTTTAACGAAGCAACCACATTAAATGCGCGTGGCAAGTTTTGGCGGAGTAAGTCCCTTGGGGAGGGAGGATCAAGTAAGGACAAATAATTGGGTAAGGGTGTTCTCATTATAACTGTCATGCACTTGTAGTAGAGAACTGAGGTGCGGCAAAGCACTAAGCTCTGCCTTGTGTATTTATACCCTTATAATTACTTCTTTGCATCATTTATATCGTAGTATCTAAATTGAAATTTTCTTTTTAAAAGAAAAAATGAGGGTACAAATGCTCGCAATTATCTGTTAGGGTGCACGTTGGAATCCCCACCAAAATTCAAGGCAATTTTAACAATATTATGATATGAAAGTTCAAGTCGTTAAACTAATTGTTGCCTTCCAGTTGAACCAATTGTAACATTGTTCATGAATCATGTCTTTTCCCCTTTCATTAAATAGAACCACTTTCCTGGTTATTTAAGCTGCCCCTCGGCCTTTACTTGGCAACTGCATACGCACATGCAGCAGCACACATAATAAATAAAGGACAAATTGGATGATAAAGACTCCCTCTTTTCTTATTTAGATGTACATTTTGACTTCTGCACAGCTAATTTTAAATGTACTAATGATAAAAAA